AACCTTAAGCTGTCCTATCAGATATGTCCACAGACCTCAGTGTTTAGGTAGCTGGAGGAATGAATTACATGACAGAGCCAGAGCTCAGGTATTGATATTATTATGCAGAACAGGAGCTGTTTGATATTCAAGGTGGCCTTTGTTTAAATAAACCTGTCCACTCAGTATTGAGGTCAGAAAGCGATGATGGATCATCTTATTTTTTCTTTGTAGATGAGCTTGACCTATGACATAACACATTTTGTCCTAAGCAGGATTACATTCATAATTTCATAAAGTAAAGTTTTGACTTTTTGACCCAGATGTTAGTGAGCAAATTCAAAAAATTTAACAATAAGAATAATCAGTGCTAAATTCATTGTACTTATTTTCGATTTAGATTCTTTAATCTGAATGTGCCATACTTTAAAACCGGTACCAAATCAAGCTACAATCAGTACATGCGTGTCCAGTACTTTTTGCTGGAAGATAATATTTACTGGATGCTCTTTAGTGCTACTGTGTATAACTGATCAAAGAGGAATATTGCTAATCAATGGTTGGCAAAGCAGGCAGATTTAATGCAGGGTACGTGGCAAATGGTATTTTTTTTGTACCTGGAAAAAATCTAGGATGAAATTATGGGGAAAAAAACCTGTAAAACTTGCTATTAGGTTTTCTACAAGGTTTGGAAAAGCATGGATGCAATTGGTTTCTAGATCTGGATTAGTTTTACAAAAGTAGAGAATTGAAAAATGAAATAGATTAGAAATGACCTACACCTAAATTACCTACAACAGCAGCAAATGGACAACAAAGATGAACCATGCAGTTTTCACACAAAAGTGAAAAACGCTTCAAGTACAATTGCTCTTGTCAATGTTGAGGTTAAAACAGCACATGGTTGACTACTGCCAGCTTTTTGGTAGCACTTGCATCTCCTTTCTATTGCTTTAGTTTGCCATTTATCAGGTGGGTCATTAAAACTTGATGGCTGTTTGACTTTGTTCTGTTTAAGGTGCCTAAAATGGTGCCAAAATAATAACTATGCTCAGTCAAGTCAAAGAAAAGTACATTTCAAAATCTAGCATGTCTGCACTCCACTTCTTCAGTTAATAACAATGGCTGTCAGTATTTGTTATAATATATAATTAATATATAATTTTATATGTATATCTCATCACTTCTTATCAGGCCTAATAAATTCAAACTCATTGCTGATTTCTTTCTCACATTTTTAATTTTTTAATCAATGCCTTGTCCACAAGATCCTTTTTGTGTTTAATTTTCCTGTTCCTGTCTCCTACATCACAGGTGGAATAGCAGGAGCTGGGCATTTGATGGATGATTTTAACCTTCTATTGTTCCTTTTCTGTTGAACCCTGGCACACACACACACACACACACACACACACACACACACACACACACACACACACACACACACACACACACACACACACACACACACACACACACACACACACACACACACACACACACACGCTAAATCGAACACACATCAATACAATTTCACTCAGGCGACACTAATTTATACACCATGTTTAAGGACTCACAACATCATCTCAGATAATGTATCTCTTAAATGCCAGATATTTCTGAAACAAAGAACAACGGTGTCTCTTAAATTCACATTTGCAATATCGAATGACACACAAACAGAAACAAGAAATATTGTGCCAGTTTGGATAGCTTGTAATAAAAAATGCAGTTCCAGCTTTCCTTGTTTCTGCCTCTTGTAACACTAATACCTGAATTGGCAGAAAATCTCACCACCCATATTTTTCATTTTTACTGAGGTGCAGGATGCTTAGTGTGAGCTGAGAGTTTCACTCATCAAAGCTGAGCCTTGCTTTGGTTCTTGGTTGCCTCAGACCTATCTCTATATTCCTAAACTCTTTTCACACGTCACTTCCATGCTGTGCCAGCACCAAGCAGCAAAGTCTGTAATGAGTCATTTGTCAAGGCCGAAAAGTGTCAGCAAAGTGTGACTTTTTCATTGTTTTTTTGTTTTTTCTTTTTGAACAAAAGAAGTACAGTTTAGTGTTGGTGGCTGAATCACACAGAGAGCGACAGAGCAGCAGGTATAAGCAAAAGCATAAAACAAGAAGGTGAAATCGGATAATCGGATTAAACAAACTGGTGACATAAACATCAAAAACAACAAATCTGCAGCTGCTTTGAACTTATCTGTAAACACTGTCATCAGTATGCGTTGCAGATCCTGCAGTACTGCTGAAGTTACGAGTAAAACCTGGTTGCCCTGCTCCTGATTAGCAGCTCATCACAGCCCATTAAATGTTTTCACCACTCAGGTCAGCTGAATTTGAAGTCACTCTGGACAACAGCTCTTGGGGATACAAGCCCACAAGCAATCAATACTTTGAGAACAAAAGGAGCTGTGGGCGCAATATGCAGCAATGTCAGCCAGAGTAAAGTTGATGAATGGCTGGATAAAACCAGGAAGAGTCAGACTGGTCGAGAAATGTTTTAAAACTAACTCTGTGTCAACTACTTCACACTTTTTTGAGAGCTGTAAAAGTAAAGCACATTTTTAAATTGAATTATTTAACATAATAGTAGGTCCTAAACTAGTTGTCTGTTTTGAGTCTCTACAGCTGTATTTACGTCTTCATGTATACCTCCTGTAGTTTTTACTTAAACGAGACTCCCTTTTTTTGCATAACCTGTTCATTTATTAAACTTCTAAAATTAAGTTATTAAAATGTTCATACTGAAAGTGGAGGTTCCATCATTTGCCTCCTTAAAGATTTATTTGCTTCATTTTAAAGTCAAAAGATTATATCTTGAGTAAATGCAATGCACAATTGTGTGTGTGTGCGTGTGTGTGTGTGTGTGTGTGTGTGTGTGTGTGTGTGTGTGTGTGTGTGTGTGTGTGTGTGTGTGTGTGTGTGTGTGTGTGTGTGTGTGTGTGTGTGTGTTTTAAGAAAAAATGCTATTTAAACCAACCTGGGCCTGTGTGAAACCTAATAGCCAGCTCTTTAGGGTTGTGATAATGTGATAATTTTGTGGAGGAAATTTTGTCCCTTCTTCTGTAGAGGATTGTTTGGCCAAAGTTTGGTGAATTGGAGGATTTTTTTGAGCATGAAGGTCCTGCTTATGGTCATAACACAAAATCTAAATGTGGTTTAAGTACAGACCTTGATTTTCCCACTCTAAAACCTTTATCTATTTATTTACTTATTGAAACATTAAGAGGAGAACTTGCTTGTCTGCTTGTGATTGCTGTCTTAAGCACTTCAGCTTAAAACCACAAACTGATGATCCAGATTCTCCTCCATAATTTTCTGATAAAGTGCAGAATTCAAGCTCCTTTTAATTATGGAAAACTGTCCTTTACAATGTTCTGTAAAATCTTTCAACTAAATGAAAATGATGCATTTTAAGACTAAATTACTTGGTATTTTAGGGAAGACATGTAATCTTATTTTTGCTGTATTTGAGAGAGCTGGGGGTATATTTCTGTATCGGTGAGAAAAGCTTTAAAGATGAAACAGCAGCTATGTTGTTGATGGTTTAGGTGCATCATGGGAAGGTTTTATTTAATACTTCAACAGTTGCTAAACGAGAAATAAAGGCTTGGCTATGATCTCTGGTACAAAACAATGCTGGCTCTGTGGAAATGACTTTGATCAGTGTCAATTTGTTCTTCTGCTGTTGTGGAATAATTGATGCTTATTAAGCTGCAAGGCTTTTCCACGATCTGCGACCGGAGATAATAGTTGATTAGCTGAAAGAACGCTCCAGAGGGAATTTTGAAATGAGCAATACTTCATTTTGCACAAGCTGTCGAAGCTGGAAGCAACAGCAGATGATGAACTTGGTTCGTACATTCGATATGGGCCTTCAGTTTTCTCTTCGGAGAGAAGTGAACAAAAAGGAGGAGAGGAGATGGAGAAGATGGAGCAGTAAAGGTAGATGTGAACAGGAAGGCTGGCTGAAAGGACTGATGCCACCACACCCTGGTGGAAAACTGGAGGCTCCGGTGGCCAAACTCCCATTGGTGTTTCCTGTAATTGATCACCTGGTTGTTGCAGTTCGCTACTTCCAGTCGATAGTCAGCGGTAATAGTCTTCCTCCTATCTGCTCTCTTTCCTATATCAGTGCAGACAGCATGTGGAGACTGCGAGTGCATCTGTGAATTCTCACACTCTGTTGAAGCTGAGGCTGAAGAATACTGTGCTGGGAGTTAATTTGGCTTCATTCCCTTAAATAAAACTCTCCCTCTATCTGACCTTACCTGCAGAGGTAAAATAAGACTGGAGAATGATGCCATAGACTTCATTATGTGAACTTACATATTGTCTGTCTTCACTGGAATCCAATTTCAAGCAACCTGCAAAGGAAGTGATCCTGCTGTGTGTGATCAGCCTTAAACTCATGTAATTGTCTTTGGTTTTAAAGCTCATCGTGTTCCTTCACAGTCTGCAGGATAAACCTGGAGCTTATCTTACAGTCTCTCATCCCATACACAGGTCACAAGACATTATTGTCTCCCTGTCTTCAGCTTAATTGCCACAGCACATAAAAACTGTAATTTGACTCTCAGCTTAGTTGTATTTTCAACTAAGTTAGGCCAGAGAACCATTTAAAATAAATTGCTTTTACACCTTCTGCCTTCTCATCTTTTATCTGTGTCTGTTTGTCACCACTCTCTTTCACAAACACTTGTCGTATTTGACAGCAGGTCCTGTCTCCAAGGCCGTGTTAGCAACAGAAATATCAATGATATTGCCTTTGTCCTCACATGCATGTTTGTCTTGGATGAAGTGACAATGATGGAAAGCTGTTACCGATTTCCTCTGTCTGCTGTCCATCTCCTCTGACTAAATGTTATTCCCACCGTCTCTTGCTATTTCTTTTGTGTCCAGACGGTTCTCATTGATCGACTTTATCATTCAAACTTTAAACATATCATTCATGCTGGGATTTTCCAAAAATACTTTTGTAACATTTTTTTAAATTCATTTTTTTTTCAGGGCAGCTGGAAATTGCACCACCTACTGCAGCCCAGTTGAGATATGGTAGGTCTGCTCCTTCTTTTGGATGATCATGCAGAATGTGGTGATGTATGAATTTGTTTACATAATGAGCTTCTCTAAGTCAACCCTCCACTCTTTCCTTGTTAAATCATGAATTAACTGTGATTAACTGATTTTTTTTTTCAAAGTCTTTAAGAGCATAAAGTAGGCAAAAACATGTAAAAGAGAAACAAATTGATCTGAATAAATTCTGAAAAAGATGAGCCACAACGTAATTTCTGAAGCCTTGGAACTCCATCAAACCAGAGTGAGAGTCATTTTTCACAAACAGATAAGACATAAAACAGTGGTAAAGCTTCCCAGCAGCAGCTGGCCTACTAAAATTATCCCAAGAGGACATTGATGACTCATCAAGAAGATCACAAAGTAACCCAGCATAACTTCTAAAGCTCTGCAGACATCAGTGTCACCAAGTAAGGCCAGTGTTCATAATTCATCAGTAAGAAAGAGACTAGCAGAAACTGGAATCCAGGGGAGAGTTGCTGACCACATGTAAATCAAAGGCTCATCTTACTTTTGTCAGAAAATATCTTGGTGATCACCTTTCTGAAACCAGACAATAAGCTTCATTCCAAGGTGCTCTGGCAGCCTTGATACTCCGTTATGCTCTAAAGATTAAAGGTTCCCTGTTTCAAGATTCAGCAAATCAACCCTAATACCAAACTGGGCCCACTTCATGTTTTTTGCATCCATGTCTCGTGAGATTATCTACAGACCCATCAACATTAAGCTTTTTAAAAATCTGGGAAGCTGTGTTCATTGAAAAACGAAGCATGAAATGGTTTGTAAATGCTCTCCTAGCTTTACATTTAACATGGATGTTCATTAAGGAACACATAACAATACCAAAACACCCTTTAAATTGATTGATAAAAAGCTTGGAAACCCTTCTAATACTAATTAGTGTCTAATCTTTAGTACTTAAGAGTTTTTTGTTTTGTAATTTTGATCCATTTTATTTAAGGTTTGTTTTTAAGTGATATTCCCTCTGTGTTTATCTACATATCATGCTTGTGTTCTGTTTTTCTATGTCCCCTGATTCACTTGATGCTTTCCCTCAGTCCCTGGCTTTCACACATTACCACACATGTTCCTCATCTGTTCATTTAGCCATTGTGCTACATTCAGTAATAAGACTTCCGAGACTGGACTTGGGCATACCTAAGTCCAATCTCGGGAGCTGTGTCTTGCAGCTTTTAGATTCATTCCTTCAACATACCTGAATCAGATGAATGGCTCATAACCATGCCTTTGCAGCGCTGAATGCTGATGTGGAAACTGAGGATTAAGGCTTTCCAGGACTTGACTTGGGTGCAATAAATAAACCTAAAATGTTGAAATACCAATATTGACATACATCTTAAGCCTTTATTATAGTAGCTTCCGATATAATAATCAGTCTGTCAAATAATGATGAAATTATGTTCATGTATATTGCATATTATGAGCTTTTAGATATCCTACAATCTCGTATTTAATATCTGGATTTCTCCTCTGTTAGAAAGGATTTGGTTAGAGAGATCAAATATCGAGTTTCCAGTGATTGGTCCTCTACCAGAAATTACTAAAATGGATAATCAGGAAAAAAAAGTAAGGTGGTGGAATGAATCCATTGAGGAAAGTTCAGCCCGATGGTCATATTCAACAAAAGGTCACAAGCTGCCTGAAATCAATTCACATCAGTCATAAAAAGGAAAAATGTTTCCAAAAATACATAAACACAATAAACAAGCAGATGTGTTACAGTACCAGAAAAGGTTCACCTTTAAGTCATAAAATCCTCACGGAGAGTGCGTCATCTGTGCTCCGCCAAGCTGTACAGATGATGGGGATTACTGGTGTTATTGTTTCACAGGGTGAGGTACCTTAACTACAGTCGCTTAAACTTGAATCATAATAATAAGCTAACTCATAGTGGGTTGTGATCTCTTCAAATCTCATTTCACAGTGCCTTCAGAACATGAATCTCTCTGTATTATTGATGGATTGTGCTCTTACAAAACGTAAATTTTGCCCTGCTGACAATGAAGCTGCAACATCTAGTATACTGTTTTGTTTTTCCTCTGAAAAACAAATTCAGAAGAAAAGACTAATAATACAGATAAGTTGAACTTACAGTTTGTGAAATGTTTGGTGAGGTTTTGTCAGACTTGTATTGGGGTTGAATATGCAGGTTTACTGTTACACAGTTTAAGGCTGCTCTGTATTTTCCCACCTGGCAGTGAATGCATCTTTCCTCCCACCTCATCCTATTAATTACTTGCACCTGTGCCTGTCTCTACTTGGCTCCCCAGTGCTCCTCAGCCTCTTCCCAGATCAGCTGCTGCCTTCTCCTCTGACCTCCCATTATTCTCTATGACACATATAAAGATTGTGTCATTTCTTAATACCTTCTACTGTCACTTTTATCATTATTCCAATAAAAATCATAAGCTATTAATATATGATGTCCATGTTGTTTTTCCGTGATCTCAATGTACTTTAATTTTGTGCCCAACAAATCTAAATGATTTTCCTTCAGCAGAATAGGATTTGATGGAGTCCCACAACCACATTTCTTTACAATAGAGAGAGAAAAGATGCTAGAAACCTTTCAGTCATCAGTTGTATGAAATATCTCCAGATATGTACAAATTAGACGGGCCTGATGCAACTTGATTGATAACCGACAGCTCTTGTTTTGTACCCAAAGTCACTACGACTTGACCAAGACTGGAAAAGTATAATAAAGGAAAAGATTGAAATGACCAAAAAGTGTCTCTTCCTGCCAGGTTTTGTCAGCTAATAGTTTTTTTTTTTGTTTGCTTCCTAGTCTTGCTGCATAATGCCATCCCCTTTGTAGGATTTGGATTCTTGGACAACTGCATCATGATTGTTGCTGTAAGTGTTGGCTTTCTAAAATAGTCTTGAGGCATATTTATGTTTAAATGAACAATGTGTTTACTAAGCATGGATGCATGGAGTTTGCAGATTCACTGGCTTTAGGTAAGTACATTTCTGTTTAGCAAACATATTGCTGCTGCGTGAGCAGAAAAAGAGCTTCAGTTGGTTGTTGAATTTCTCCATCATCATGGGTGGTTGTACAGAAAGTTGTTTTCTTATTATTTCTTATTCTAACTATAGCTCATAAAAATGGAAGACATGATGGTAAAAATGCATATTTTGTGTATTTCCCACTTTTTGAAAAAAAGTAAACCCAAAGTTGGACTGCACTTGGATCCTCCTGAGGTTTTTACTAAGGTTCATACAGACGGAAACTAATGTGACCTAAAGGTCATATTTTTCTTTTTGCACATTAAGCTAGTTAGAGACTAAAACTTTTCATCCTGTTCTAAAACGGGATTCAAAAAAGCTATTTAAAGTTTAAGGCTGTGTCTGAGATATGCCGTACAAATCTGAAAGCTTATGGCTTACCTTACAAAGAAAATAAATATTCCCTCCAGTAAAACGTGTTATTGTTTTCTCAGGGCACACAAATTGAGTTGTCCATCGGTGTGGTTCTTGGCATTTCAACTATGGCAGGTAAAAGATTTTTAATGTTTTGTTTTTTATCCTAATTTAAACTTTTTCAACATTTACCAAACATTCTATATTTAGAAAAAGTACGCACCCTTCAAAAAGATCTGTTCTGGAAAGCAGACGATTTCTCAGATACATCTAGAGTGATATTCTGTCTGCAGCATTGTACTTGAGGCGTGATCCAAGTATCTACGATCTCTTTGTGAAGTTAATGTTTGAAGTTGTTGCTACAGCAGCAATTGATCCACTGATCTTTTGTCTTTCCCGCTGAGGGTTTCTGTGTTTCTGTTGTTCCAAATTTGGTGATCTTTGACATTCAGGGTCATAAGCAGCTGAGACGACAACCAGCAAAGGAACAGACTTTATTTCTCACTTCCACCGTAATGTCAAAGCTACAGAATAAATATGTTCATCTTAACATCCTCTGAATTGAGGTGGTTGATTTCTTTCTGCACTAGTAGAGAGAAAATTAGATGTTTAGAAACAATTCAATTCATGTTTGAGTCTGTTTCATACATTATTTAATCATTTTGCTAAAATTATTCCTAAAGTTTAGACCATATGATTGTTTTATGATACTTGTTTTGTAAAAATAAAATGGTTTATATTTTGTTTTCTCCAGACAAGTGTCCGGAGAATCAATAGTAATTGTTTATCTTGAACTTTAAACCCACAACCTCAGTTTCATTAGCACGTTTTAATGACATTGCCAGGAGAAACGCTACACCTTTTACCTGCCGTCAGCGTATAGCTATTCTGTAATTACTCCTCTCTCCTTGCATTTTTTGCAGCTGCTGCTCTTGGCAACCTGGTATCTGATCTGGCAGGACTGGGGTAAGAGTTGCACGTTAGCACGCATGACACAGATGAGAGTATACCGAACAAAGCTTCATTACATATTAAGTGCATGAGGTGGTATAAACAGCATCATTAAACAGGGCCAGTGTGAACATTTATGATTTGTTTAAAGATTATGTCACAAATATGGATTCTATTTTTAACAGATTTACATGTCTAATGACAAGAAAATATATTTATAATGCGTCACAATAATAAATATGCTTGGTACTTATAAAGTATTTAATGTATACTCAGGAAAGGTCATTTGTGGACAGAATCGTCAAAAGAAGAATGATATGGATACATAATTTCAGAAGAACTCTTAAGACAGAGTCGTGTTGCTCTCTGTCAAGGTCCATAAATGTAAGAAGCGCATTGTTTGCATTTTCTTATGCCAAGTGAGCTTGCTAATATTTTTAGCGCCTTCTAGAGGCAACATTAGACCATGCACCATAATTTAAGAGTCATCAACAGTCTTCTCATGTTTATTTATTTATTCTTATTTAAAATAAACAGCATTTGAAGGCAATGTGAGGATGTGGGTCATGCTGTTGCATTTTATACCTGTCAGCTAGATATATTAGTCGACTAGTCTTGAGACTCTCAGTGGACAGGCACGGCTTTGCTGCCACTCAATCATATGACAGACAGAGTTCAGGTGGTCAGTTTGTCAAGGTGAGACTTGATGGGATCTCCCAGAGTTCATTTTTCTGTCCCCGTTTTGATGGATGCGTGTCAGCGTGTGTGAAGGCTTTTTATCGGTTTCTCAACACTTCAATTCATTTGCATAACAGGCTGCTTTTGTTTCAATAACAGCAGGTTTCAAGTGTGGACTTCTGACTAATAGAAGATCTTCACTTTAGCTCCTCTGAGTCACTGGTTGTTTAATGGCAGCTCAGAAGGGGGCTAAGTTAAGCCACTAAACCAAGAACATGTTCCTCATGTTGACACTGATGACATGTCATCAGTGTCAATGACATTGAACTTTTTGTTCAATGTCATTAGTGACTGAGTTCAGCTTGTCTGTTTTTCATTTGTGTTGAATCTATGCTACTCCAATCCTCATATGTTCCAATTTGTTCATATAGACCTCCTGTTTCTGTCTCCTCAGTGTATGTTTCCATTGACAGATGGCAGAAATTACTCCACTAATACTCTATAATTTCGCTCATGAGTCATTCTGACCATTCGAGCTCATTGGTAGTGATGCTGCCTCCTGTTACCTCCTGATTTCTCTTTCTCTTTGCATTTCTTATGGACCCAATGCATCAGTGGCGTTCTGGGGCAGACAGTCCAGACAGCAAAGCATTATTGCACTCAGCCAAGGCTGACAAAACAAGATGAAAACTCAGGGCTCCCATTAATAAACTCTGGGGAACAAGTGGGAGCCAATGGCTTCTTTTTTGACCCAGATGCATTCTGTTTCATTTTATAGTCCATCCACTCACTGACCTGATGCTGAAAATGTTCATGGCATACATAAACAACAAAGTTGTTTCATTTCAAAGATTTAATTTTTGTGCAGCAGTTGACAAAGAGTGGTCATGTTTTATTTATGTATTAAAGTGTATTGGTCCCGTGATTTATAGTATTTGTCTTTAGAGTCTCAAACGTAAAAAATAAAATAAAATCTTTATGTTTATGGTACAATTTTTATATTAATACATAAAAAATAATCCTGCTCAGTTAGCACTATTGCCTTTCAGTATTAAGGTTGTGGGTTTGAATCCTGGTCTGTGGTCTTTCTGCATGGAGTTCTCTCTGTGCATCCGTGGGTTCTCTCTGGATACTCCAGCTCCGCCCACAGCCCAAAGACATCACTGGCAGGTTATTGATCTCTACAAATTGCCCCTAAGTGTGAGTGTGTGTCGCCCTCCGATGGACTGGCAACCTGTTGCCTCTTACCCAGTGACCGCTGGAGATGGGCACCAGGAACCCTGTAATCCAGCAAGGATGAACTGATGTGTAATCAATGTATGGATGATGTTTTCATCACTTACAGTTTCAAATTTCTGAGGACAAATTAACTCTAAATGAGATATGTCAAAACAGCCATGATAAACTAGAAACCATCTTTGGACCTCTGCAGGTGCAGTTCCCTCACTTCTGTCTCTGATAATAACACTTTTAATGGGAAATATTCAGATTTATTATATAGTCTCTCCAGTTTTCAAGCTGCTTTTTTCTTCTCTGTGGACAACCTCTCATGTCGATGGATGGCTCTTAGCAAAAGCATTCAGGAAATGTCATCATCTCAGGATCAGTGTAGGTATTGCTGTTGTATTTCATCTCCTGAGCGATTCTTTTACCCCCTGACTTCTGCTTGAGCAGAAATTGGACTGAATTTGATTGTGCAAAAATGCCCGATTTGTTGTGGCGGTGTGGAGATTTAAAAAACGAGTTTGCATTTATGGAACAAAGTGGTACAGGATCACTCCGAAAATTTAACCTCTCAAATATTTCTACATAACTTGATGAAACTCGGTGGTCCTCATAATCCTGTCTCAGCACCAGCGGCCACCGCGAGGCTCCACTATCGTCTCGTCAGACGCCCCGCTCGCTGCTATCAGTCCTGCAGCTCCAGCTGCAGCTCATTTGTGTGAGCAGTGAACTGAGAATCCATTAGTCCCAGTCACTGATTTAACCCCACAGTAACAGTACGTCAGAATAATCACTCAGATTTCTTTCCTCACACACAAACTGCTGCAGCTAACGCCCAGATTCCATCACACATGGTGGCTGTCATTGAATTTGGTTATAATGACCTGCTATTGTGTTTCTGTTGCTGTATTTTGCTATGCGTGCATGTTGGCATATGATCGCACATTTAGGCTGAAAAGGTTAGGCTTGATCGGAAAATAGTTTTTACTCATTTCATGTTGTTGCGCTGAACTGTCTCTAGCCTTTCTCTGAGCAGTTACTCCAATCCTTCAACATTTCTATGCAGAGAACCTCTGAAATTTTCCTGCAACTAAAAGGTTCTGGTTTTCAGTCAGATGATATCTTGATATTTTGTCTGTTGCGAAAACTTACTGTGAAAACTGAAATGTAAAATTTTGGAGAAAATATTTTTTCATAAAACCAGACAAACTAGATCAAATATGACCATAATTTTTTTTTCTTTCCACAACCTCAACACATTTTAGCAATAAACATCCAGCGTCATGTTTCAGATGCATTAATACAGAAAACCAACACCAAAATGAGTTTATTGATACTCTCCAGACTTCTTTTCTGATTTCTTCCTCATGTAGACGTCCAGCTGCATTCCTGGTCACAGTGAGATTATTACTACAAAATCCTTCAAGTTTCCTTTTTCCCTCCTTCTCTTCAGGCTGGCAGGTTACGTTGAGGCCTTGGCGTCTCGACTCGGCATGCAGATTCCCGAGCTGAGTCCGAAGCAGGCGGATATGTGGCAGACCAGGGTCAGCTGTCACTCGGTTTGTACGCCCACATTTGTAAACCAAATCAAACCATATCAAATCAATAAAATATTCCACTTTTGAGTTTTGAATTTTTCTCCTTCAAACAACTCAGACTCTTTAGGACCAAACAGGCATAAAATATAGAAAAGATTCAGAAATTTGGAAAAACTTTTTATCTTTGGAAAGATGTGAAACTATTGAAAAGATGGAATGCAGTGAAAGTGAAAAAAAAAACATGTAATTTTTTTTTAAATTACAGTCTTATTACAGTTTTAAGTCATGAAGTATAATATATAATATACAAAGAGTGTTGGTTTGTGGTTTTCGCTCTCATTACTCAAAAAATAATAATGCATAAAAATCAGTGTTATTAATTTTGAATCAAGTCAAGGCTGAAACACCCACATCTTGACTTTTTTTGGTCCAAAAAGTCCTACAAATCTAAAAAAAAAAAAAAAAGATTTATAAAATATGAAAAACTTTTGATTGGTCAGACGCCATTAAGATTCAATGCAACGAAAGTGTAAAATAAATGAATATTGAATTTTTGTAATAGTTTTATAAAGTGTCCCATTTTGCCTCTTCTCTGCAGGGTAAAGCCATCGGTGTGGGGATCGGCTGCATCCTCGGCATGTTCCCTCTTCTTTTCTTTCCTGACGATGATGCAAAGAAGGAAGGACAGACGGAGACGAAGGATGGAACCCCACCTGCTCCAACAGGGAGCAGCAAAAACTGACCAATTCAAGACCAATACTCTTTGTAGACCTGAAGAAAACCTGTCCGTTTGTGAGACTGACTGGTCTGTCCTCGCTGTCTGGAGAGGACGAGAACGGACTGTCGTCCAGACACTTCCCAAGAACCAAACTATCAGGGGATTCTTAGGAGGATTTCACATGATGTATCTGACAAAAGCACAGCAGACTGGTTATGTGTTGGAAGAGTCCAGACTGGAAGGCCACTAAATTATAACAGACCCTCACCTCTGCTTTAAGTCTGTTAAATCACTTCATTATTGAGCACAGGCTTTATATTATGATGGCTGACCGGAAGTTGGATGACTGTTTAAAACGTTGCAGCAGTTTGCGGCCACAAAACAATACTAAAACATATTCCAACATAAGCTTTGTTATACATATTTTTGCATGCGACTATTGTCGACTCGTTTAGTTTGTTTCCGTTAACGTTATGCTTTTGTTATATCTTACATTTCCCAATCAGCAGAATAGTCCAAATCTCTGCTACAGTTAAACATCTCATATAATTTCACTAATCCATGCGCACTCGCTAAGAGCAACCTTTGGAAAACCTTTTAGAGGCAGTTTTAAGAGTGAGTTGAAGTAAAGAGGTGAGCTTATGTCTACCTCCAATATGGCCCCAAAACTATATCTGGAGCCATATTCAGCTGTTCTTCCTCGGCTCAACTCGTTTCTCCAGTATCTCTGTCATAATTTGAGCTCTGCTGCCCTCTGCTGGCCAACATATCACTGGTGTTTTCTCCTCATCTCTTCACCAGTCCGACTCATTGTTTTCCACCTGTGCAGTTGATCTGATGTCGATTATCGTTTTCCTCAACTTAACATTAACAATTTATTCAGTTTTTTTTTTTTTTTTTTTTTTTGCACATGTCTTTGGAAGAAATTGAAGGAAGCAACCAAATGCAGAGCTGTAAAAAAAATATTTGCCTCCTTTCAGAGTTTTTCCAGCTTTTGTTTTTTTGTCGTACTTAATTTTCAAAAAGTCAAATTCTGCCTTTACTTTTCTGAGTAAGGCAGAGAGGTGTTTCAAATGACGATTAGATTTATTTAATGTAAAAAATCGATCATCACTAAGCTTCCTTCCTGTGGGATAAGTTATCTCTACCTTGTCTCATCACAAATGAATTTGAACTGAGTTAAGGATGGCAGTGTGATGGTCTGGGGCTGCATTGCTGCTTCAGGAACTGGGCAACGTGTTGAAATTAATGGAGCCAGGACTTTTCCTTACTGTCTATTGGATCTTGATAGAGAATGTCGGGCCATTGGTTTGTAGCCTTGAGATTTTAATTTTAATTTTATGAAGCAGAGTATTTATCCAAAGCACATCAGCAGGTCCACCTTAGAACCACTCAAAAATAAAACAAACAAAATGAAAGAAACAAAATGACAATTCCGGAATAGCCTAGTCAAAGTACCAATATTAATCAGATTTGGATGCGGTGGCGGGACCTTAAACAGGCCACTGATGCTCAAACACCCTCAAAACGTGACTGAATATAAACAATTTAACCAGTTCTGAGAATAAATCTGAAGCTATTTGTAGTGAGGCAAATACTTTCATACAGCACAGTAGTTCTGCTAAAACTTTTATTTATTTTTCTTTAAATATTTATCTTGTGCTATTCTTTCCTGGAGGAAAACAAAAATGCATCCAGAGTCTGGAGTGTTCACACACAAAATGCATTTTTCTTCTAAGCAGAAGGAGATTTGATCTGGCTGCTCTGTGTGACTAAATGCTGTCTTACTCAGTGTATATGACTGTTTCAGCTTCGTACTGTGTGTATAATACAAATCCTGACAAGTTAGAAGAATGAACAAAATGTACAGAGAAATCTAAATATTTATGTAGTTTATAATTTCCATTTTGCATGCGTAGATAAGTGTGTATCCTCTCGGGTTGGTCTTGAGATATGAATGATGAGGGAATTTAATCAGCCAGAACTCTAACATGAAAAGCAGTGAGTTTTTGCTCCACACTTTTTGTGGCCTTTGATCGTATACATGATTTTAAAATATGATACATTTAGTTTAAAATGAGCCTAAATGTTGTATCAAGCAAAATAAAAAAAAAAAGAAAAAGACAGCACAGTGGTTAATGGCTGCACTAATGATGCATGTTAGAAAATAATATTTTTGGTTTATGTTGTGCACTGGCTGATTCAGTGGTCTAGTTTACTCTGAAATGTTTGGTTTTAAACTTGCATATTTTTCTGGTTGGTGTAATGGCCTCAGGGCCGATGCCTTTTTTCAGTAAACCATAAAAGAAGGTAATGAATTTGCCTGAAAATATTTTTTTTTTACATTGTAATTTAACTTCAGAAAATTCTGTAACAGTTGCTATTTCTTTAATTTTAAAGAGAAGATTTTTGCATAACCCTGATGAGACGTTTGATTTTATTTTGGGCAGTGGAAATATTTTCAAGCACATGAGATGTGATTACATTATTTCATAGCTTATAAAAATTGATTCCTTCTGTTAAGACCACGTGTCTTACATATCCAAGGTGCCCCGCTAAAGTCTGCTGTGTATATATGTATTAAAAGAAAAATATCAGTCCATCATTTTCTTTCCCTTGAGTTCTGTTCTTGATCCTGTCCCAGAGACAAAGAAAATATGAGTGAGAAGGGAAATTATACAATAAGCACAAACCTTAAAGTAAATCTTAAAGTTCTGCTGTTGGTAGCTACCATGTGACGCACTGAATTATCCAGCTTGAGGCTTATTTCAGATTAATTAAGGAAGCTTAGTTTGTTGATTTTCTTGTGCAGGGAATAAACGCTTTATCTATAAAGTCTTGTTTTACTATATGCATTGTTCTATTAAATAATAATCGTTAGCTTTGTAATGCAGCAGTTTTAAAACAAAATGATCATGTTTGTTGTGATGATTACTCCTCTGTTTCCTCTGGTCGTTTTGAGATTTCTATAAGCACAGGGAGGATCAAAACACAGCACACACACGCATACACACCCCCACACACACACAGTTTCAAAGAGGAAAAGAGAAGCGTCACAAGGGACGGGGAGGGAGCCACCCAGAGGTTATCATGGGAGGCCACAGCTTGGGAGAAGCAATGAGGGGATTTTGACTTTGTGCTGAAATAAAAATGACACAAAATGATGCTTGTTTTCATCATTGTTCACTGAAACTTTATTTCACTTTAAGATCAATATTTAACCACTCACTCTCCTCTAAAATGATACTAAAATGGGAGCAGCGGCGCCGTAGAAAAATAAAACCAATCGACAGACAGTCAGTGCATACAGATAAGAAAGTCTGCAAACAAAACAAATCCTCACTAACAGTGTTAAATCATTCAAATAGCTGCTCATTCTGACAGCGCACTCATACTGTAGATGTGCCACACCTTTCCCTGCTCCAATCATTTCAGGGATGGTGCCATTTTTAGCCACAATAAACGTAAAAGGTTCCCAGGCTCGGGGAAAGCTTCATTTTACATGCCCAGCATTTGTCGCATGAGTCTGCATGCAATCAGCCTGTAACACTGTATCACCAGACCAACGTCTAAATATTAAACACTCACAGAGAAAACCACAATCAGTCGTCATCAGTGCAGCATAAATTGTCAGAGGCACTAATGGGCATTAAAGGTTAACATAATCAATATTATTATTATTATTATTATACTGAACCCTGCAGGGTTTATTCTTTTAATGCAAATCTTGATTTGATTGGAGCAGAGTGCAGAGCATTAGAGAGAAAGAGTTTCACCAGATAAAAAAAAAATTAAAAAGTTTAAAAAAAAAACATAAAACCTGTCAGTCACACCTCAAACAAGTTTTCTATTGCTTCATGAAAGTGAAGTAAGCAGAGAGTGGGCTCCCGCTGCTTGCTGCTGACACCAGGGATGAATCGTGCTAGAGCGTTCAAATTTTAGCCCAGCCCAGAATGTCCACGATTTCCTGCATCTTTGATTCGTTACTGGGCAGCAGAAAGAGGGACATGTCAGGATTATTCAGACTGGAAACAGGATGCTTAGAAACACACATGAATTTTCAGTCCTCGGCTCTAAAGATGGATACATAAAGGGCAGTAAGAGGTGAAAATCAGTCATTAAATTAGGCGAAAACAAGGACAACCACACTGCACATCTGCCCAAAGGGTAAAACGTTGTTCAAAAGCAAATCGCGTCATAAGAGTTCCTATGTAGCAGGAATAAAACAGCTTTGTGTTGATCTTGTCATACAGAAATCTATTTCTATAAATGTAGCTGAAATGTCAAGATGTCAACAGACAGCACCATTAACAACCATTTAAATCATGTTTCAAATGTGCCAACGTGGAAGCAGAACTCAAACAAATCGAACACTAATTTAAGAATTACACATGTTTAGGATCCCTGTGCTTAAAAAAAAACTATTTAATCCGTTTCGGCTAAAATCCTTTTACTGTTTAATTAAGATCAGACTAAATGGCACCACCAGCCACCAGATGTCTCTGTTCAATTGGCATGTCCTACCAGGGAAAATCACAGTTTAAAAGCAAACTGTCCTCTTTTTTGTATTGTCCATTTCTTAGAGCCCAGTGTTTACAGCCTGGCCCAAAAAAAAGTCTTAGCACGTCTTTTCTAGTTTAATCCAACTTTCTATCCAGTTTCTTTCTATCATAGTAACAAGTATCCAGCCCTGACCGCATGATAGGCACATTATGAACGATGTCACTATTAAATTCACACGACTTCAGAACAGAGAGATTCAACCTAAAGGGATAAATCATTAACCCAGTGATTCACAATTAAATCTCCTGTTTTAGATATGCGTCCACTTTTCTAGTCATGTTTGCTGCAGCATCAAAAAAAAAAAAAAATCCCCAAGCTCCTGATTAACAGACTTTCATAAAGAACTTTGCTTTGAGTATTTCCTATGGTTTTCATCCGGGTCGATAGGCAGTGAGAGTAATACTGACCCACATTGTCGCTGACAGAAGCTGTTGGCATGTAACTTTGGCCAAATCAGCATTCACACACACTCACCCACACAAATCTACAACATCTTCTGGGTAAAGTAAAGTAGGCGCAGCGGCCACAGCCTCTTTGCACGCTCTTTTGTGAACTCACAAGGACGGCCTTTGTGTGCCGTCAGAGTGTGACCGAGTGCAAGCATGTCGGAGGAGCATGTGCATATTTGCTTCCTCGTGTCCGTTTACAGATGAGTCTGTGTGTGCGGGTTCTGGTATTTGCCGCTCTCCCACTGCGCTGGCTCCCGTCCCAACAGTGGAAGGGGGACGGAGGGAGAGAATGGACTGAGGACGGAGAGGAAAGACAGCTCCGTTTCTCTTTCCACCGCTGTGTTTTTTTGCGGTTGAAGACGGCGAGCTGGTGTCGAGGTGGGTGGAGAGGGCAGGGGGGGGTTCGGGAGGGAAGGCAGTCGCCGTGGCAGAGCTGGCATCGGAGATATTCCTTCAGCTTTTGCTTGTCCTTATGGTCTCTGTATCAATCGTCTGTATTGCAGCAAAAATAATAAATAGCATACACTTTTCACAATTGGAGCAGGCAGAACGCACTCCTAGGACGAGCCGAGTCTGCTTAAAAACCACGCGAGGATGGGATGTTCAGTTTACTTTGTCCTTATTGTTGGAGTGAACAGGCTGGCACTGAGCTGAGCACGCAGCTGCTGAGGAAGAGGAGGACGAGGAAGAGGAGTCAGGGGGAGCCGGTTTGTTGGTGGCAGAAGGTTCTCTGGGTTTATGTTTCTGATGGAGGACGACTGCAGCCAGAATACTGATGATGTGGACGTGGAAGTACATAGATCTGGGGGAAAAGAAAAGGAAGAAAGGAAACTGAGTGCGACTCGTCAAACGTGGCCATTTATCCGGTGTGTGAACAGAAAAGTTGATCACTTAGAACATTTTCAATCAAAAGGACTTTTTTTTTTGTCCTCGGTAAGTTAAATAAAACTGGTTTAGAGACGCAAATATTACACGACCTTTTCAAAAAAAGAGAAAACGTACGATTTACAACAAATATCGACCACACAGGACATGTTGTCATTTTGAAAGAACTATTTCATTCCTAGCAGCTTTTTAAGCTGCTAAACCCCCAAGCAGAAGAAAATGGATGGATGGACATTTCATTCCTATTTTTAGATTTTAAAATAAAGAGACATCTAACGTTTTCTAAAAGACGATTGCAACATTTTCTTAAATGGGACGATGTTATTTGCACATAGTTTTCATCTCGATAGCAAGAAAAATAAATCAAAAGAAAAAATGATCTCAGTATCATTCGGCGGTAGAAATGAAACATAATTATTCCATGCAAAAACTGAAAAGTAGCTAAAACCTGCATTTGTTTCTTTAACAGTTTTAATCAAACTTTTTTTAGAGCCACTGTGGAACATTCCTGAGAGGCACTTGTGTCTCTGGAGCTCTGATTCAGAAGATATAAAGTAACATTGCTTCAAAAATTTGTCTCTACACCATGAACAGCCACCAAATGAATCCATCCATCTGAAACTGCACAAACCAAACCAGTTTGGCCACATTTTCCAGAAGCAGACATTCAAGCACATCATTTTTTTATTATTATTATTTAGAAACAAATGGCAGACTTTCCTCCAATCCTTTTGTAAAACAAAAGAAAAAAAAAAGAAGAAAATCTCAGATATGCAATGCGTGCAAAGACAGGCGTTTACTTTCATGCTTGAATTTTTCCAAATGTTGTCATGATACAGATGCAGATCTGATTACTGTGGTATGCATATGTATTCTCGGCTCCCACTAAACAAAGTCCAGTGCAATCAGTCTTTATCTACTTGGTAAATATAGTTAAAATGCAGTGAAACTCATTTGAACGTGAGACCGGGGGTTCTGTGAAGGCAACAATGACTTCACACAAACATCATGCTTTTTTTTTGTATTACATGTGGATAAAGAAGCTGGTCAGAGTTCATACGTATGGCACACTTTTTATGTTTTTCGTGTTTGTAAAAATGTGGACAGGTTCAAGAGGTGAATAAGGTTTCAAGGCACTGTAGTTTGAGAGAGAAGCTCTGCAGAAGCAAGGAGCACATACCTGTAGTAAACCATAGTGTGTTCTACTGAGAGAAGGAGAAAAGGCATGACAGTGTAGCAGATGGCTAGCTGAGTCGCTGCCCAAGTTACAATGTCATAACCGAGCTTCAGGACTCTGGAGCCGATGAAGTAGTGCCTGATAGACCTGCGTATCTGGAGACAGATGAAAAAATAAATAAATAAGGATAAGTTCATTTTCTGTTAGCTCATTTCTTTTAGCTTTCAGTGTTGAAATCCCAGAGAAGGAGGTTTACTTACAGCCCTTGCTGCTATGGTAATGGGAATAGCAGTGATGAAGGTGAAGTAGTATCCTGGATAAACACCGTGCCACAAGGCAGACAGGATGAAGGTCAATGCCAAGCGGTGTTTCACCGCTCGGTCATAACACACCCTGAAGAAACAGGGAGAATGTGAGAAGCACGTCTTAAGTGAAAATCTATTCGAGGTTCTGTCTGTGAAGTGTGTGAATGGGTGTGAGTGTTATCATCATCTGAACTCACATTTTGAGCCAAATCCCTGTTTGAATATTCCAGTTGTCTATGAAGGTCTTAAAGCTGGTTGCTGTCTGAAAAGAATCAGCATCAACATTGTGTTCATTTTGCACTTTACTTGATCCATGTGCAACTTCTGGTTCTGGATGAAATGATGATACGTCATACAACTTCAGTGTTTTTAAACAATAAATGAGTCCGAACACAATGTGAAAAGGACCAAAAATGATCAAATATATCCATGAACCTTTGCCAATTTTTTAATAGTCGCCATTAGCAGGTTGCAGAGAAATGAGATGTCACTGTAGTCCTCAACAAACGTCAAGCGTCCTTCTGATTGAATGATTGACCTCTTTTCATCACAATTAGCAGAGTTTCAATATGCTGCTTCCTGGGAACTGACAGAGTCCTCATGTTTTCAGTATATTTGAGCTCCTGGCTATTCCAGAAGCTTTCTGTTCCTAAAACCAGTTTACACACAACAGTGTCCAAGTTCCAACCATCCATCTGTCGAGTTGAGGGGTTTTCATTACTACAGTTGGTATATGGTGACTTATTCCTAAACACCTCATCCAATTTCATTTCCACTGAGAGGCTGTCTGGGTCAAACAGCTAACACTAGGGCCGAATTGGGTAGAATCTCAGACCTACATTAAAACTACCTTCCCAAAAGCTGTACCAGAACAATGAGAGTTAAATGAGCTCCGCTGTTTCTGAGAAGAGAGCCCAAACAACCAGCCAGGATTCTGCCAGAGACTACTTGATTACACCATAAAGTGTCAGAGTTAAAGATGTATACATTTGAATCTACATTTATTAATTTGACCTTCCATGAATTACAGAATACACCCCTCCCCCCAATAAAACTCCTGAAACTAATTCTTATGTTCAAAATGTTATCGAATTAACAAGTTGTATCATCGTCATCATACATTAAATAACGATAAGATGAAATGTGGTACCAAAAACCCGGGCTACCTCAATCCCTATGATGTGGAGATTGGAGACAAGATCCCAGCAGGGTTTTCCACTCTCATCTATCCCCAGGAAACCATAACCTGCTGCATTGTTTACTGCATCAGCTGAAAACACATGCAAACATATTTGTGAAATAATTAATGATTAAGAAATAAATCAAACAATGCTGTCAGAAGAAGACAGGACACGCTGCTCTTCCAACTATTGTGATTTAAATCCCTGGAGGCGGTGCACGCGCTCAGAGCTTACCAAGCGTCCAGGCGAAGTAGAACTTGGGTCTTGCTGCTTGTATGGAGAAGAACGCGTAGGTGAGCCTGCTGAGGAAGGAGGCGTGGCCAACAAAGTGGTTGTCTACGTTGTAAGTAATCGGCAATGACCGAGTGATGAAGAGGAAGATGAACAGGCAGCCGCAGCAGACCAGCAGCTTTCGACATACTGCGTTCTGAAAAATAAAAAATAAAAATTAGGTCCATGATTTCACCTTTACAACTAAAGTTTATTTCTCGTTTAGTTCTGAAAAAACTAATGCATAACACGCTTACAGAATAATGTGCATGTTCTTCATGTCATACTGGGTGAAACGCAACAAAGTTTGACGTGAAAAGTAATATTAAAGACACTGCACTTATCAAAAAAAAAAACAACAGCTTGTTATGGAAGATTACAAAGACAAATCTATATTTTTTTAATTCCTAAAATTAAACGAAAAACATTGCAAACCAACAAACAAATATTTTTCTCAGTTTACATTTGAGCAACACTTCCTCACGCTACAACAACAGGCTACCAGTCAAATGTGGGTAAATGAGCTTACGAGAGGAGATGGGTCGGGCGTCTTGTCGTAACCATTTTGCCCATTACATGTTCCAGAGTGCTGCTTTAGCCTCCAGCTGATGTGTTTGCCCTCTATGAAGTCGATGTAGTCCTTATAGTTGCTGCAGGGCCCAACCAAGACACTCAGGAAGTTCAGATTGTAGCTCAGATACTCGATAAGAGACGGCCTCACACTGCCGGGAAAATGACAAGCAAATTAAATTAAAGTAAATTCTATTTTCCTCAAAATCTAAAAAACAAAAATTAATAAAATCTAGGCAGATAATCTGCTTATGTTTTAACTTTGCACTTTAGGTCAAATGCACAATTATTATAATAATAATACATGTTCTACCTGAGCATTTCTGCATTTTCTCACATTACAGCCATAAACTAATATATTTTATAGGGATTTCATGTGAACAGTTTATTATTACGAAGTAGAAGCTAAATGTTTTCAATATTTTTTTTTACAAATAAAATTCTGAAAAGTGTGCCCTGCATTTGTATTCAGCTTTTTTTTCTGACATCCCTAAAGAAAATATAATACAACTAACTACCCTCAGAAAATAAACCGTTCAAGCTTTAAAGACTTGCAGCAGAAATGAGATTTAGTGTCGTCTCAATGGGCTGAATACAAAAACATACAACAGTCTGCAGAACTTAATGTCAGCATTAACATTTTCCTTCCACTTCTCAGTTATGAATTACTTTGTGTTGGTCTGTCACGTAAAATCCCCACAGCATGATAGTAAGTAAAAGTTAAAGGGAGATGGGATGGTTTTTGAAATTCCTAATGAATTTTCTTCAGCTCCAGTGTAAAATGCAAAGTGCATGCAGTTCTGAAATCAAAACAAAAACAATTGCAAACTGAACTGAACTGACACTGGCACACTTGAGATAGCACAACAGTCTGCTTGCTGGTTAAAGAGGTCACATTAAAATAGAATTAAGGTCAGGTTGTAAATTGTAAAAAGTAGCAAAAACTGACAATGCATGTGACTGGACTACTTTATGTTTTGAGTTATTTTGGGGTGGCGGGGTTTACTCGGTTTTTATGTAATTGGCATGCGTGCTTTGATGACAGTCATTTCACATGCAGAAAAATGCCATATGCGTCATGCAAAATTATGTCTCTGTTCTAGGTTTCCAGCATGCTACTTTTAAGAACAAGCTATTCACCATGATTTCACGGCCATGTCATTGTCCTTGGCTGCTAAAGGAAAAACAAAAAATGTTTTGCTCTTTTAACAAGGTGTTACTTTAGATACAATCCTCTAGTTTTTAAATACCAGATCTCCTTCCTACTGCTTTCATTGATGCTGGACAAGAGTGTGTGTGGAAGAGCAACTGAAACGGCCTTTCACAAAAAACGTACCGTATAGCCACATGCTTCTGCTCTGATGTCAGCTGTTCACTTTTCTTACACATCCCTGAAATAAAATAATACAAATCTAAATCCGTGCTTCACTTCGTCATAAAATGTAGGCACATTCAAATTAGAGTTAAATTATTGCTCACATCACAAATATGTCTTTTTCTGATTCAAACAAGTCCAAAGTTATTATCCATAGAGGTTTTTTGATGACTTAAACCATTCCAGCGTTTGTCGAGATCTTGTTTGTATTTTTTGTGGATATATTCAGATGTCTTACCGTCATGTAGATGGAAAGCCAGCATGGTTATCTTCTGGGTTACAATCATCAAAGGTCTATTCAGAAAAAGGAGGAGCACCAGAATATTAATGAATTAGGTTCTAGAGATTCAATTAACTTCTAAATCACTTTGTGAAATACAGTTTACAAATTACATAAAAACATACAAAAGAAACACAGGCCGAGCAAAAGATGAACAGAATTGTATGCAGTGTTAAAACCTGAGAAACAAATGGTAAAATACTGTGAATAGGCCAGGACGACTGGTTTTACATCTGGGTGGCAGGAAGAAAAAATATATATATCAAAACAGCTTTGAAAAAATCTGAAGACAACTGCATAATATAGAAAATAGGCTCAAAAAGAAAAATTGCAGGAATGCTGCCAACAGTGAAAAACATCTAAAAAAAAAAGCAGATCACAAAAAGATGCAGTCTTTTTACACAGACAAGCTGTGTGAAAAGGTTAAAACATATTAATCTTTCAGTTGTATCCTCGTAGATACCACTTAGTTTATTTAAAAAAAAAAACATTTTTGCAACATCTTCAGCAGAGTTACAAGTAAATGTTGCAGGTCCTAACTTTGATACACAGAGTACTTGGAATTGAAGGAAAACAAATCAACGACATTAATAACTACTCAACAGAAGGCACTGGATTACATACAGCTGGTGTACTATGACAGGCTTTGAACCTCATTACCAATATCTTTGCACTGAGCTGTCAGTGCAGTCAACTTTTACAATTATGAAGCATTGTCTAAATCATTAATTGGTGTAAACTGTGAGAACTGCAGAGGCAGAGCCTGGCAGTAGGAAGATCTGATGTTTACAACTACAACCCAAGACACTTTTACAGGAAAACAACACATTTCCCTCATGAGATCAGATCACAAAATAACAGCACAACTCAAGGAGTTATGCTGCACGACAGAAATCACAGCGTCTCCAAACAGTGTGACTGGCTTTACAGCAGGATTTTGTTCTGATAAAGTGTAATTTTCTGATACTGAAGCACTCTCGAGTTTGCTGTGGGAGGCTACAGAGTGTGCCTTCTCTGGCGAATTGATGTGTCCTGTTCCAGCAGAGGCAAATCAGGTCACTTATTAATCCACTGCTATTTATTCTAAATCTCTGAGTTTGGCTGAAGCATCTACCTTCACTTTTTAGCTTGTGAAAAACACAGGACAACTGTGTTTTCTGCTCTCAGCTTCAGTTGCTATATGTCCAAGACTTCAATTCTCCAACACTTTCTGCTTTATTCACATAGACACGGGAATGAGGTGGCATGTCATTCACAAAGGCACATACACTGTACACTACATCTCTCTCCCTGACACACAAACACACCCTTAAACACTCTCATTCCTCTCTCTGAGTGGACTGCATTGTATGCATGGAAAGCTGTAGAAGGAAGGAGGCAGGCCATGTGGCTGGCAGTGCCAGCTCATCAGGAGTTGGTCGATTATCAGATTATCAGAGTCCCACCCAGCAGCATGCTCTCTGACTGGGTTTTACCTGCAGACTGTACAATTATTAGCTTATGGAAAAGTCCGTGAACAAATAACTGTCTGCTCAAACTTGGGAGGTGAATCCAAATCAAACAGAATTTCTCTCTGCAGAAAACATTAAAGTAGACAATCAGAACATAATTTTATTTCACAGCGCTTTGTACAGGGATTAACCTTTTCCACCTTTAGCACATTCAAGATTTTATGTAAACTTTAAACCCACCACAAAGTAAAGCTCCAAAAGTATGGCGAGGGGGACCAAAACTACATAGTTTATAGTAGACAAGTGGAAAGAATTTTTTTTTGTTACAATTAAAAATCTGAAATGTCTCTAAGAGGTTTACTTAAAGTATTTTTTCACGATTTAGCTCCAATTCTTGAACATTGAGCAGCTTCCACAATGCCGCCACCATTTTCTAATTCACTGATGCTTGAAAGCCACAAATCAAAGTGGGATGAATATAAATGCATATTATATTTTCTATATTTTTTATTGTATTAAAAAAAAAAAAAAAACTTAAATGGTTTTCCTTCTACTGCGCAATTATGTGCCACCTGGTGTTGGTCTATCACATAAACTCTCTAAAATACAGAAATCTGTGGTTATTACATCAAAAGGGTTCAGAAAAGGTTTATGATATTTAGAGGACTTACGATATCATCTGCTAAAGATGATTTATCCGTTTAATCTGAACATCTGGACAGGTAGTAGTGGATACATGTCAAGATTTTCACTCTTTCATAGTGGCTACATAAAAAAGAGCCTGACACTGAGTTGGATCCCTAATTCAATATATGACTGTAGGACAATCTGGCTCACAGGCCTGACTGGAAGCAAAGTCACATGGAGGACAAGTGAAGCTGCCAACTAATTCACCCACAGTGCAACTAAACAAAAAGACTGGGGAACACAGTTCACTATTCCCTTCATTCAGTCAAACAAATAAAGTAACACAGCGTGCTGAAAATGCTGGAGTTAATGTTTTAAATGACATCATGCAGAACTGATGTTAAATCTAACTAATGTGTCCTTTGTATTGAATGCATGTATTTATACAGGATGTGAAACCAACTGAAAAGCTCCAGTTCGTACAATTAAGAACTGATTTGCTCACCACTCCCATCTTCTGTAAAAGGCAATCGGATCTCACTATCCTGTTTAATTCCATTCCAGAACACAACGAAGAAAACATGCAGACTAAAGAAAACCACACTAACATACAATTAACTGGCTGGGCAGCGTCACCTTTGAGCAGTGTTTCCTGCTGTGTTCAAATCGGTGGTGCCTTATTGACACAAGGATATGGAAACAGTGGAAGCTCACAGTTTGGAAATGTCGACCAACAACAAAGGAGCAGCTCTACAACCGAACTTCTGACCACGCTGTCATTGAGTGGGCGTGGTGAAGCACAGGTGAGGATTTATTCTGTCCTTACCCGGAGAAGTCCGTGGAAAGTATGCCGTAGCTGTAGATGAAGACTCTGCTCACGTGGCACGCAGTCAGATAACCCATAGCTGTCACCATGGAGTACCTGTGTGTATGTGAGGAGATAAGGAAAAAATAAGTAATGCAAACAAAAGCCAATCAGGATATCTTTGTTGAATAGGTGTAACTGAAGTATTTTCCACCTCTAGGTGAGTCATTAGATGACTCAATTTCTCAGTGCTGGAGTATTTTTTTAACTTCTTGGAAAGTTTTAATCTTTTTTTTTTTTTTTTGCTGATAAAGCTTTTAAGAAGTTGTGAGCAATATTAGGAAATCCTGACAACTTACTGGATAGGATATGATAATAGCCACAAGAGTACACCATGCAACTTCTGTGAGTTTCCCATTTCAATCACAAACTTCAGTGCATTTTCTGGGGATGTAAACTTTAAACCCGCCACAAAGTAAAGAGAACTGTCAAGTGGAAGGAAGGCGTGGTTTTCTGATTTTTTTATGAAATAAAAATCATGTTTGGTTCATATGAACTGTGTAACCAAAACTTTGATCAAGAAGCCTTGAGGTTTTTGTATTTTAAATCCTCAAAACTTACATCTGTGGCTTCCCCCACTGCCTTTTATACAGTGGGGTGAAATCACACGTTTTAATCCAGTGAGCGATATTGCCATAGTCGAAGGAAACATGTATATGAGGCAGCTGCAAACCTCCATCTTTATTGTATGAGAAAAAAAAAAAGAAGATAAAACTCAGCTGGAGATCTCTGAATGTGTGGCAATTTATACACGGTCACATAAAAAGCTTTAAAGCTCCAAAAGTATGGAAAGAGATAATAAACAATCATAGGAAATGTATACATTTTCCACAACAATGTTAAAAAACATGTAACAGCAGTTCAAAGTTTGGCTTGATTTATTCTTTCACCTTATATTGAACCAGTGAAGGGGAAGCTCAACTTTGGGTTTCAAAAGCTTTTGTATACAGTCAACAGTGTCAAGTTGATCTTTATGCCACTCTGCTGGCAGGATTTCCCTGCACACGTGAATAACACAACTTCTCTTACCTCATTCATACGACTTGGTTCATGAAGACAAGATTGAAACAATGCTTGAGGAATGTAAACAACAGAACCAAGCAGCCATACAAACGGAAAAATATGTATGTAGCACTTATTAAAAAAAAAAATAAAAATATATATATAAATATATATATATATATATATATATACATATATATATATATATATATATATATATATATATATACACTGTCAGAACTATCCGGCTGCCTTGCATCTGGCGTGCTCCTCATTAGTTTGAGGTTTTAATGATAACGCGACTGACGTGGTGGATTATGCGACTGACTGCATTGTCAGAATGCATAGATGAAGTGATTTTGTTCAAGCAAGACAAAAACAACTAACAATTTTCTAACAAGATAGATAATTGCCATCATTGCAAGTCTCAAGTGAGCCCACCTATAGTAGTTGGTTTGGTTTCTGGGAGGGACTGATCTAGTCTGACAAGATTAACCTGAAATCAACAAGAACCTTAATAGCTACGGCTGTTACACCAACTCTGGAAATAGAGTTCTAGGAAGCAGATCTGTCAACCAGGTGACGAAATGACAAGTTAGACATGTTTGTCGGGTCCGGATACACTGTTTTCCTAAAACCACAAGACAGGTGAGTCCTGACAAGTTCACTTAGCGGTATGAAGAAAAATCCTTGCCTGTGTACATTGTTGATGTCAGCTTTAATGATGAGAAAATAGTTAACAGCCACCACAGCGAGGATATGGGTAGAATACCTGCAGAAAAGAACACACACAATCAAAGGAGACATGTAAACTGACTATAAGTATTAAATTTCACATCTGTATTTATGATGACATCATTATGTTTGAATGGACTGATTTGTGAATAAAAGGACATGAATGGGAGATGGCGTGGAACAGTGTCACACCCTACCATCCGAAGCAGAAGAGAAGAAAAGCGATTCCTAGGAGCGTGGCGACAGCATGCCGAACCAAGGGGCTCGCATGGTTAGGACTGAGGTAGAGACGAAACCAGAAGGCAGCAAGCAAAGCAAACAGCTGGCAGGATAGGAAGTTCACCTGCAATGGAAGTGGTGGGGGGGAAGAGGTTCAAAAAAAGGAAAGAATGAGTCTGGAGAGGTCAAATGCTCCAGTAAGTTGGGGTTTATCATAAACACTTGAAAATGAGGCTGCACAATATATATCATTATCAGTTAGATGCATTATTAGATAGGCTATTCATCAAAAGTCGACTTTACAATAATACATGTAGCCACTTACATGTACTCTAAGAATCAATTATGCCATCCAGACTGGTTTTAGTCTGGATGACACTAATCAATCAGCTAAAGTCGACATCATCACAAGGTTCTATATCTTGTTTCAGGGATTCATGCACACATTTCACCTCAAAGCGCTTTCCTCTTGGACACAGAAAACAACTTTTTCCATAGTAGTCAACCCATGATGGCTGAACTAACCCACATTGTTTATATTTGTATATGATTGTTTTATCAGATGAACATGGCCGCTTCATGCGTCTGGAAATTGTGTTTTTAAGGATGAACCAGGCTTGTGGAGGACAGCTATCCATCCATCAATTAAGTTGTTTTTTATTCTTTGTTCTGAAATTTTTAACAAAGTTAACTTTAGACTTTAACTTCACTAGACAACAAAAAGCATAACCCGAAGAAAATGTTTTTGTTTTTTCTAGAGTCAACTAAGCTGACAGATTTAATTCAATATAAAGACAAAAGGAGACTGGTTGGACTGTAGAGGTTGAAGACCCCTGATCTGAAAAGTGTTCATTTCACAGAGTCAGGATTATGGATCACACTGGACATGAATAAAACAGAGAACGAGGTCTTGCCTGATGTCATTACATCTTTTAATCTTTGATATTAACTCTTGACCCACAATATATGGTGAGAGAATGATAACACCATATAAAAAAATAGAATACAATAAACTGATGGTATTTTTTGTTTCTAATGTTACTGGTGTCTGGCTGCCCATATAGGAAACCTGGAGGCGTGCCCCCATAATTAACCTGCGACAAGAGGTTGGCAATTTATGCTTCCTAATTTCGACAGACCAGCTGTTTTGATTTTGGACATACCTCTGCAGCCTCTGACGTCAGGAGCAGCGATGTTTGCGCAAATGTCCGCGTCTCCGCACAAACAAGAGTTTCTTTCTCTCAGCCCATACATTAAATATCACGTCATGACGTACCCTGGTGTTGTGTCGTCAGTTTTATTTAATAAAAACGTCCCTCTGCGGTATAAGTTTGACTCATGTCCTACCTGGTCCAGAGTTAAGCCCAAGTATCCGCTGACAGGCAGCAGCCACTTGCAGCCGGTGGTTTTAAATATTGCGTCCTCCGGTTCGCTCATCCTGTGAAGTTTTTCAGTCACAGCACAAATTGGCGGCTGTTCTTTCGGTCCTTTTTAATAAAAAAAATAAAAAAATAAAAACCTCCGTGGTTTTGTCAGTGAATAAGACACATGCTCTGCCTTAAAGGGCGTGTGACAAGCCAAACCAGTCGGGTTAACAGTAAAGACAATCCCTCATACTCTCCACCTCCTCGCTATTTTTTGCCTGCGTCAAGCGCGACATAATAAGAGGTGACACTTGCTTCCGGTTAAGTGCTTTCAAAATAAAAGTCACTGAACCCTTTTCCACATTCTGTATCTTCGAGGTGCAACGTTTTAGTTAAATATAATTATCAGCAAAGTTTCTTCAAAATACAGCTTATTATCTCTTATTTTCGTTCTCGTTTTATGTGTTACTTTAAACGGAACGGTAAATCTCTAACATGACTTCCGGTGATAGTCAGAGTCCCGACAACAGGAAGGGTAAATAACAATAATAATGTGATGTGGAAATAAAATTTAACCTCAAGTTTCGATTGATAAAAAGCTATGTTTGTACTTGGAAATCCCACAAAAAAAGGTAAATAGACTTAGACTTGACTTTATTGATCCCTTGGGAAGACTCCCTCAGGAAATTATAGATAATACGAAATCTAAAACATTTAATTCATTCAAAAACACAATTTGCTTAAAAACATGTATGACAAAGTAACTCAGTGACTTAAAAGAGTAGACATGATTTCAACTGATCATAGTATTTGTTCTTGCAAAGACTGACCAAAACTCCCATTTAATGATGGGAACGTGTTCAAACTTGTTCAGTCTTGCGGGAAATTAGCATGTTCATTTTGACCTAAATTGATCAAATTTATAGAAGTCAGTTTTTTATGCTACATCACAATAAGTCCAGACTTATCCACAATGGTTTTATGCATGTGCAAAGATCTTCTAATTTCACACATGCTCTGTCCCTGGTGGAGACTGAAGGTTTTTACGAAGTCATGTTTTAAAATAATTACAATTTTGTGGGGCAAAAATATCCAGACAAATAGGCAAATATAATTTTCTTTTCCGGAAAATATCTTAAGGTAACGATTGACACGCGTGCAAATGGTCCATTCAACATAGTGGTAAGAATTCTAAAACTGAATGACAAGAAAAGTTTAATAGTCAGTTTACAGCTGATCTTCTGCTGCTGGTGTGTAGAGGTGTCTAACTCTCCTCAGAACATATTGAATGTCCAGATCATCCAAAAACAGTAGTTATGCTGTTTTACTATTGCAGTGATGTGTACAACAATGTTACATACTACCTTGCACAAATAATATACTCACTCATACAGGTATTTTGAGACCATCATTGATGACATTGCTACTATTTAATAAATAAATACATTCAAATCTTCTTCAGTGTTATAAGAGTTTGAAGTTTCTCCTTGCCCTCCCCCTGGATGAAAAAAATATTGCTGCAATTATAGATTTTACACAAAATGGCCTTTTGAAACTGAGCATACTTAAATGAATCATTTTTGTCACTGAATATAGTTAAATACTAAATGAACTGAATTCTTTTGAAATTGCTTTTCTATATTCTTTAACGCTTTTGGCATTTGCTTCACAAGTCAAAACATTCAGCTGACTTGCAAGAAAGAAAAGAGTTAAACCTTTTATGGCCTCAATTTTGTTTTGCTCCTGTTTGGTGAGACTACCATAGTTACTGGCGTCCTCCTCTTTTCGCCATAGTAGATCACTCGCGCCACCCAGCGTCCATTCCTGAAACACGCAGTGCGTGACTAGTAACGTCCCCTGTTTACAACTGCCAATTAACACGTGGCTAGCCCAAAGCGCGCTCCTCATTGGTCAAAGCAGAATCGATATGGGCGGAAACTCGAGTGCGCAGGACCAATGGAGTCCGGCATGCAAATTCCGTTTGAAAATTTGCCGGGAAATCTGAGTTTCGCGGGAGGGCTCTTGAGCGCGTAAACCGTATCCCTTCATTCATCAGGCCGTTTCCTGAAGCCATTTCTAGACGGGAGGAACGAGAGTTGCGCTACTTTTAAATCCGTTGCATCTGCCTAAATGCACGTTCTTAAGGAAAAATACTTTTTAAAAATCGACCATTCAGACATTCATCTTCACGTCCGTGTGATTATTTTTGTCTCTGGCGCCACGGATTAGCAGACTTACGGGCTTTAAAGTTGAGAGACAAGAAAGGGGTTACCCCGAATACGCAAGATGAGAAGAGGGATCTCCTCGGCTCCGGACAAAGTGATTTTAGCAGGGGTTGGGGGCTCCTCTCTGGATAATAATATCATTTTAACAGCTCTCTCGGATCGTTTAAACCCTGGTCAATCTAATACCACGTATATTCAAATAATAACCACCCCACCGCCTTGTAACGTTACACAGACATCAAATGTGTGTTTATCCGAACCTCAGGTTAATAGCATTTATACAACTCCGCAACAAGCCGCTGCAAACGGAACCGGACAGCGACCCGCTCTGGGAAGACCACCGGTAATAACCTCCACAGCACATTTCGCACACATTTCTCTACTCCAGCCAGGCTCCGGTGTGATAAAACGTTAGCCTGCTAAGCTAGCCGAGCTTGTTGTTCGGGCAGCTAATGTTAGCTGCTTAGCCAGGGCATTCCCACGACTCAACCCCAGCTATGAAGCTAACTAACTAACCCAAATAGGTCGCTTAGGAGTTTTGTTGACTCTATGAGGGCAGAAGGCGAGTTTAGGTTAGTTTAACTTTCCCAGGAATGCAGAGGTGCCGTGTAACAGCGAGCTAGCGAACTTCATGGTGCTTTAGGTCCGCTTCACCTTTGCAGCCAGATGGAAATATCGGTAAGGGATGAGTAGCGTTAGCGCTGGCCTTGTAGCTGCTGTTGATGTCTTTATTTGGGGTTGATGGGGGTTGTTTGGCCGCCTGGTTTTTAGTGGGCTTATTTTTAAGCCTCCTAATTGAATACCAGCGGCGAAGCTTTCAAAAACACAAACTTCCCCACGATTACAGCCCGGCCTCAGTTTAGAAACTACTCGGCAGATCTCTCGTCGTCTCTGAAGATGCAAGCCAAGTTGAATCTGGCGTCAAACTGTATTAGCTTTGAAAGCTAGGTGGATTATTGATTATTAGACCAGAGAGGAACACAACTCGTTCTCCTTGACCTGCATTTTGAACATGTTTTCAGACGCGTTCCTCTTTGTTAATAAAGTGACGTTGTGGTGGTGCTTTCATGCCAAGTAAAGTGAAACCCAAGTTTGCTGCTTTGAATCTCATTGCACGTTTCCTGTAAATTGATCATGCACAAACCACACGCTTGAGTTTATGCAGAATTCAGGGCGTTGAGCTGTTCATTGCTATTCATCTTTCATGAGGGGAACCAGTTAGTGTGTCAGGCTGTAGCCATGACCAGGCTGAGGGGTGAGGGGATCTGCTTGGTGATATAAAATGGCTGACACTTAAACTGTCAGAGGACATATTCCTGTGTCTTATTATACATTTAAGAATCAGAGACTAGTTTTTTAAAGATTTAGACATTTCCTCAAGATACTGGCGCCCTCAGAGGTGTTTAAAGAGGAATACACATTGTTGGTTTGAAACTACAGCATTGTGGATACTTGCAACACACTTTTGAAGAAGTGTCTTTTTTTTATTCCAGTGTTTCACAATTAATTTAAATCAGATGTTATTGCAGGGATGTGTGGGACATTAACTGGGGGACGTCGTGTAATCATAACCTAAGTTGTGGTTAGGGGGAGGTGTTGGAAGAAACTGTGAAGTATACTGTTTGGGGAATAGTTAAAACCTTGACATTTACCTCATAAGGCCCATCGATTTATCAAGGTGTTTTAACATTATGCAGCAGGATGCATTTGTGCTGTTCTTACTGAAATAAGAAAAAGTGAAATTAGTTGGACCTTTCCAACTAAAGTACTTACAAATTTAAGTTGCCTCAGCTAGGTGTGAGCCTGTATGCTATTCTTCAGTGTGAGTGACAATAACATCTGAAACCTTACATTTAGAATTTGGCTATTTCTTCACTTTGTTTTGGTAGACTTATAGACATTTAGAACATGCACCTGTTTAATTTAACATTGGTTTTCTTGTTAATGTTCATTTTGTAAAATATTTTGTGCAAATACTAAATATTTTAGTATTTTTTTTCCAGCACAAGACACGTTTAACAAGTGCACATTATTTTAGTCAGGCTCTGGTGAAGTAGCCAGCTTGCAGTTGGCTTCCTAAAAGATGCTACTTGTGGCTAGTCCACACTTTCAAGTGTAAAACCTCTGTAATGCATTAAGTAGGATCAGTGTCTTCTCATAGTGAATACAGGATTGTCCATTGTTTTTTTTTTTTTTTTTATTATTATTATTTTATTTTGCAAATGTAATGCTTTTATACCACCAATTTTGTACTTTATTGTAAGCCAGGATTAAGAAAGTAGTATTTTTTTAAGCCAGCTGACCTGGATTGTGCAGCAACAGGTGTGAAAAAGGACAGTGTTTCGATAGAGACGACATAAATCTGGAACTTCAACCACATGGACAGAATGCTGAAAAATTTTACATTTTAAAACCAAATTGTACTTTTACACAAGTAGCTTCTGCACGTCTGATGCAGGTAAGGTTGTATAGTGATGGAGAAGAATGTACACCTTTATGCTGGTAGTTTTCATTAAGTGGTGGACGACAAAAATATGCACTACAATGCAGTACACAACTGTGTGTGGTTATGTTTTTGGAAAGTAATGAAACCCTCTGTGGAACAATAGTGTTGGGATGAAATTAATCTGAATTATATCTAGTATATATATTTTTGTCTTAATGGAGGGAAGACTAAACAACAATGTGGATCCATAGTCGTATTACTTTAATTCAGGATTTGGTTGGCAATCTTCTTGAGACACAGATTCATAACTTGTAAAAACAAAAGCGATAACCAGCTGAAAATATAATGTAGGATCAGAATGTGTTGACATTTTTTTGCTTTTAGTCTCTTTTAATATGCAAATATACAGTTCATGTCTCTTGTGTTTTGACACATTTGAGCCATTTGTTAGCAGGTTGAGGTGTTTCCACAAAGACTGAAAAATAGGAGCCAGCCTCAGGCTGCCAGTCACTCCATTGGACCCCGACACCAAAGACCCTCTGACTGGCTGAGCTGAAGTGTTCCAGTG